TTTTATGGTCTCCACAGACTATTGCCTTATATCATTCCTTTCTTATCTCCTACATTTCTTCCCTCCTCTCTTCTTTCCTTTGTTCATTTAAACTCAATTTAGTGTTTTCTAATAATTTAGGGGACAGCCCTTCCATTTTGTAGATTATCTATTTAATTCCTACTATTCTGTCTCTTTGTCAATTTTTGGTCACTCTTCTGTTAATCTTTTCATAGGAAAGAAGTAGATAATGAGATTAATTGCTGAAATGAAGTAGGCACTATTATTGGATTTAGATGTCCTACACTCTCTCCAGCCTTCCTCCCCTTTGGAGGATTTAAGACAATTGAGATAACTGAGAGTTAAGTATATTTTTTGAGACCTCTAGAAAACAAGAGAAAGGAAGGACTGTGGAAGAGGGAAGATACGATTAAATCAATGTAGACATTGTTAAGAAATTTATTTGTAATTCTTGTTTTTTGTGTTTTTTTTTTGTTTGTTTTTTAAATAACATCATTCCTTAGATAAAAATGCAATCTTACAGGAATATACAATAGTGTCTCACACAGAGATGACCCTGAAGCTCTCCTTGAAAGGTTGCCCCTTCTAGATTCCCTGGCCTTTCTCAAGGGTGAGAAGGCGCAGCAGGCGAGGCCTTTGACAACAGTATTATTTGACGATTACAAACTATACAACTGTATTTACAACAACAAGACTGTGAAGTCGTGGAGCCTGGAGGGGACGGTGAGTGCTTTCAGATATGTGGGTGGTATATGGGATGGTGACTGTAGAGGCACTGTCCACCTTTTGTGCCTCTCCAAGAACAGGCAGGACATAGGTTGTTTGGGGGGCATGAAGGTGGGCTGAGCAGAAGAACATGAGGAGAGGAGGAATAGAGGAGTTTTATCTGGACCTCTTGCAAGGGGGGAGTTTTGCTTGTTAGTTCTGTTGTATTAAAATAAAACGATACCCCAGTAACAGATATCCCAGTTTTTCACCAAGGATCTGTCATCTGATTTCTTAATGAATCTGTGTGTTCTTCCATGGGATGTTTTCAATTACTGCCAGCACACACTTGTCCAAACCTGTTACTTCTTAGTTACCCTCAGCCCATTTCAATGCACGATCTCATTCCCATGAGAGATGCTGGAGGGCAGCCTATGCTCTGGGCAGGGTGGGACACAGCTGTGGGGTGGGGTCATGATCTGCCTGGAGTGTTGGGAGGTGGACTCCAGGTGTGGAGAGGAGCTCCAGCTTAATGCATGGATGGTGTGATGCATGAAGGTACTATCTGAACTGCTGAGAGGCCTTCTACAGGAGCCCCTTCATAGGACTATTTGTTTATAAATTACCTGCACTTGAAAATCAAGGTTATTTCCCCTTTTAAACTTTGGTGTAGTTGTAATTCTGCAGAAGAGAGTCTCTCTCTCTCTCTCTTCTCCTACCCAACGGCTCTGGAGAGATCCATCAAGAGGATCTGAAACCTGCAGTCCTCATGTTCCCTTGGCAAGGGAAGTCAGTTTAACCTGGTAACTGCTCACCTTCTCCCTTCCTAGCCCTCTGCTTACAGATTCGAGGGCTCTGAGAATACCAGAATGGGTGTTCTCCAGACCCAAACCATGAATAAGACCCTTTCTGCCCTTTTTGTCATAATGAAAATACCCTCTCTTCATATCTATAACCTCTTCTACCCAAAGCTTTTTCTGATAATGACCTTGGTGTGAACTGCCATGAGTGATCTTTAATGGTGAATCAGTGGAGAATGCCTGGTTCATGCTGGGTTAAGGGGGATGTCACCCTTTTTGGGAGCCCTGAACAAACAGGATTACTTAGATTCTGAAAAACAGGGGGCATGGGTGCTTCACAAAGGAGCGATGCACCTGTGAAGCAGCCAGTACCTGATCCAAAGGGGGAAGATTTAATGCTGGTGATGGGATGTTTCAAACTTTTCTTTAAATGATCGAGTCTTTGTATTGACTTCTTTGTTGTTAGTGGAGGCTCATGCACATTTTCATGGAGGAGGCCAACTTCTGACTATACTCTCAGTGTCAAGTGATTCCTTATGCTTATTATGGTCAGTGCCCGTCTCTAAGCCTGTTCAGATACTGAAAGTCTTTTCCAATGTGCCAGAAGGACCAAGTCTCTACCATTTTATTCACTGAGGGTCACACCTCCTAAAATCATAAGGAAATGTGTTGATTTAAGGAGCAAAAGTATTTTATCAATGTAGAAAAATTATATTTAATTCACAAAATAATGGGTTCTACTAACATTATCTGCACCCAAGGAAGTCTGGTTGTGTCCATACAGTGCTCATCCTCTGGGAGGAAGAATCCCCGCCTACCTAGAGCCCAACCCCAGCACTTGCACGTTAAGGACATGTAGGGATAGGAAGGGGGTGTTCAAGTGTCTCCCATCAATGTGAAAATCTGCCAGGAATCCATTTATCTGTTATATTGATGTCTGGCTCCATAAAGCAATATTTTGTTGCTTTGAAATAAAAATAAATGAGTAAGGAGATAAAATTAAAACTAAAAGTGACTTTCCAAAGAAATGGTAAGAGTCTGCACAGGGGACTCCTTTCAGATTTCTGTCCCTCTCACTGACCAGGGGAAGGAGGGATAATTAGGGCTGGGCAGTGGCAGACAAGAAGACAACATCCTGGGAAGGAGAAGTGCACCACCCTGACAAGTACAGGAAATTTCTTGTTCTTGTGTCCATACTTCTCTAATGTGGCTGGTGGAGACGGTGGGCCTTGGTGACAGGGCTGTGCTGTGAGTTAGATCAGGCCTTCTCTCCTGCTTCTAACAGGACTTGGTTCTAGGTGGCACATGGCATACAGGAGGAAGAACGTCAGCAGTGTGAAAGGACATGGCAGAAACCTCACATCTAGTCTGGTCAGCTGCTTTGACTGGAAAGATAACACTAGATTGAAATTTTATACTTCTCATCTTCCTAGTAGAGATGTAGTATCCGCCTCTCCATCACACCAGCTGCTGTGGCAGTGTGCATGGAACTGCACCCTTCTTTCCATAGAATGGGAACAGACTCATTTTTATACAAGAAAGAGTCAAAAATACTTCTTGTACACATTGCCCCTCCAGATCTTGGTACTTTCCCCAGAGCTAAATCATTGTAAGAAACAGAACTGTCCTCAGCTCTATGGCACGTTTTTACTCCCCTGGGGTCTACAGAGGTCTGGAAGTTGATAGCCCTTTTGTTAGCCCCTTTGCTGAAGTGTTTATAGCTCCTGGACAATGATATTCAGTTACTCAAGTTCTCCAGAGATTGAGACACCATCAACCTCCTTAGCAACGTTTGTGATTATGGTTTGGTGAGCTAAAGTTGAATCCTGATTACCAGGGTTCTCCTTGATGCCTAACTACATTTTTGTTCTATCATTTTGCCTTTAGGAGTGAAGGGTCCGTATCTTCTGGGCTCTGTGAAACAGCTATCAACCTTCCAAAGGCATCCAAACACCTCCCTCTCACAAAGATACTAATGTTGGCATAGAAAGACATACTCCTCCCAGGGTGGCCCTGCTGTCTTTAGCTGGATGGTCAGGAGACATTCTGAAGGGAGAATGGTAGTGAGGAGTTGATGAGTAGCATCACTCCGGACAAGCACCTGGAATTCAGAATGAGATGGGTAAAACGAACAGCCTTGCTCTTTTTACTTGGTATTTCCCAGTAAGAGGAAAGAGAGAGAAAGAGGACTATAATTTATAGCTTCTAAATCGTAGTAAGGAGAAAAATCCATGAATCAAGCCAAAACCTAGGAAAAGTGGCCTTTCCCCCCAAAAAAACCAAAAGAACTTTCTACAAACAAGCAGAAAGGTGACAGCTGGATGCCCTTCTCCTTAGTGCGCCATGTATGTGTATGAGCTGTGGAAGTGAAGAGGCAGGGTGATTCAGAGGACAGCCAAAAATGAGGGCTCCAAAGGCAGCGCTGCAGCTGCACTTCTCTAGGTCCTTCGGGTCTTCAGCCTCTGTTTTAACCAGCTGCTCGAGGTGGTCAGAAGGGCTGTGGAAGATCTGACCTCTGTTTGACCAAGTCATGGGGACAACTTCATGTTGGGTGGAACACTGAGGTGTGGCTCATTGATTTCAATGAGCCTGTCCTGATGGCAGGTGTCTCATGTCAGTCCTGCTCTGGTTGGTCACAGAGTCAGGCTAATGAAGACTCAATGCCTTAGGAAGTTCCTACTCACACTCCTTCCCTTCCCCACAGCTTAGGGCCAGGTGTCCCTGTCACTGCTGACTGCTCTTGTAGGGTGAGGGAGGGTGGCTAAGGGAGAAGGCAACCTGTGGATGCTAGTGGTGAGGGCTGGAGCCAGCGCTGAGTAGGGTCCTGGGGGGGGAGCTATGTGAGCCCAGCCTGAAGCCCAGGCCATTAGCCAATGAGATTTGGTGTGCAGACAAAAAGGTCAAGACGAAAATGGAAGATAGCACAAATTCAGTGTGTGTGCGTGTGTGTGTGTGTGTATGTGTATGTGTGTGTGTGTATGTGTACATGTGCGTGCACACAGGTGCAAGATCAATCAGAATTCCAAATTTTAGGGACAAATGCACAGCAAGAACCAGATATCAACTGAAAAGGGTTCCCCTTGCCATCATAACTGAAATCTGAGTGGTACAGTAGTTGAAATGTTGTGCAACTAGACAGGAGATGATACCTAAACTTAGTTTCTAGAAGACTTTGAAGGAACTGGAAAGAAAGCATCCAAGCCTAGATGGCTTGTGCATGGTGAATCTTAAAGAAACTCTTATTCCAGGGACCAGCAGTTAATGTAATGACTATGTCCCTGGACTTCCACGTAGTTGACCACAGTTTGAGTCCAGGACCCGGTGGCTTAAAACTCATGCTGGGAGCATGTGCATGCATGCCTAAGATCCCAAGAGGAGAATGGAGGAGAAGGGATTGTGGCGTGGCCATCCCCCCCTGGGGAGTGATATTTTGCTTTCTGTCTCTATGTCTCTCTCTCTCTCTGTCTGGCGAGCGCACACACCCTATAGCAAAAACCTCTAAAAAAAAAAAAAAGGAAAGAAAGAAAGAAGAAACTGCAGACCATATGTCACCTGGGGATATCTGGCATATTTCTCCATTTTTTCATGACCCAGTCCATGAAAGTACGACTCAGCCTCACGGGGTAACAAACTCTGCCATATTCTAAATGCACTCATACATGTGCCAAAACAGGCCAAGGGGATCCTGGGACTAGAAAAGAATCAATAGGTAAATTCTGGGTGAATGGTTGCATCCTATTTTTCCTAAGCTGATGTCTTTTCAACCATCATTGCCGAAATACATGTGAAGGACACAGCTATTGGCTCTGGGTATCAATGGACATAAGAGATGCCCCCACAAAACCCATTTCTACTGTCATCATAAGCTCCCTTGGCTGAGTCCCCTTTCCATTCTGCCAAGCACAGTAGGTGATTCTGGAGGAAATCTTGGTTTAGAGCGAGGAAAGGATAGAGAAATGAGCATGCCAGAGAGGTGACTTTGGTCAGGCCAGGGTTCCACTCAGCTCCTTTCTCTAGCCTCTGCTGTTGGCAGTTGGGTAAGCAGTTGCCAGAAGTGAGGCTGGGCTGCCCCTTCCCCCCGACAGCCCAACTTGAGCTCCATCCACTCAGTCACTTTGCTGGGGAGAGGAATGAGGGAAGTTTGTGCTGTGGTAATGAATGGAAAAGTCAGCCACTTGGACTGTGCGGGACACTGATGCCAGCCAGTGACAAAAGAAGTGGGCAGAATGCTTCACTATCCCTCATGGTGAAGGGCTGTTCTTGGAGAAGGATCACCCCAGATAACCGCAGCACAATGAATAGAGTGAAGATTGGATAAAGATGGGGCACGAATATACCTAAGAGATGATTTTGGAAAAACAGGGTGGGGGGTGTGACATGAAGGCAAACACAAGATATGCAAAACAGGAATGTCAAAACCCATTTGTGGATAGCAGAATCATGACTTACATGGGCAATACCTTTGCTCATTGTACAAATTAAAAGACAAATCATTCCCTTTGCCCCAGCCACAGATAGAAAAAGCACTTCAGAGTTCAAAGGTAAAGCTTGTCACACTTCAAATACAAAATGATTTACTTTACATGCAGCAAAATATACAAGAGGTGAATTCAAAAACAAACTTAATTCATTATATTCGCTTGGCACAATTGCAATTCAGTTTTAAAAAAATATTTGAAAAATACTGAAACTGACCTGAATTCAAGTATAACGGTTTCTTCAACAGAAACATTATCAATGCAATAAAACATTACACGGAATATATCGAAGCAAAACGCCTTGAGTTTTCCCCTTAAATTTCTGTGTGTGTTTTTTTAAGTACAGTTTTAATGCCAACACAACTCACAATTGTATTTTTAAAATGAATATTATTGCATTGTTTTTGCATATCTTGTGGGACAGAAAATGCAAAGAGTTACTGATTCCCGTTTCAGAAGCAGAGACAGTGGTTTGTTTTTGCTTTCAAATGGCCCCGGATTCAGGTCTCCCCACAGTCAAGCCAGAGAGAGGGAACTGCTAGCTCATCTGTGCGCGTGGGCACACTGTGTGGTGTGTAGACGCAGGAACGGCCTGGCACAGACAACCCACCACATATGCACGTGACACACACACACTTATGGAGACTCATTCGTGCCTCCTCTCTCTCGCACCCCCCAATATCCCCACAAAAAGGAACCCAACTCAATCACCCACATGTGCAAGACCGTATCAAGTGCATTGCCAATTACCTTTAAATTATAAAACCAAACCAGAACAAAAACGTGTGTCTACCTAAGGAAATTATAACGAATTATTGGGCATAACACAATGGCCGGTAAAACCCTTCCCTGCAGGGGCTTCTACTGAGCCCTCTGCGGAAAAAGGAAACCACAACCATTTAAATAATACAATAAAACCAAACCCCATTTACATTTGCAGAAGTGAAAACTGTAGGGTGGGCCGCTATAAAACTTTGTAAACACTCCTCTTCTTCCCCTCCCCTTGGAAAAACAAAATTTTAGAAACAAACAAAAATCCCCCCCAAAAAAATCCGAAAAACTGCAACATGCTGTCAAGAAAAATGTCAAACCACAAACAAAAGAGCGCTCAACAGGAGCACAGCACCACCTCGATCCGTGCAGCGCCGGCCCCTTCCCTGCGGGCAGTGCCAGCTCCGCGTGGCTAGTGCAGAGCGATCTGTCGCAGGCGCAGGTGCAGGTGCAGGCGGGCGGAGGCGGCCGGGGTCTGACTGACGCAGCCCGCTGTCCCTCTCCCCGGGCCCGCCTGTGTCCAGAGCTCCTGTGCCCCTGGCTGCTCCTCTTCCCTCTGCGGTGGGCGGGCTCCTCTCTGGCAGTCTCGCCCGCTCCCTTTCTCCAGATCCGCAGGGCCCTGGCTCTATGGAGACAGTGAGGCTCATACAGAATATGTGCAAATGATTTTTTTTTTTTACAAGCAAAGTTGAAAGACACCCGTTTGGATAGAGGGTCCTTTTGGTGAGGGCTGCGCAGGACGCTGAGGTTCTCCCATGCCCAGAGGCGACAGTGGGCTCCTCCGCAGGCCTGGGGTACAAGGAGCGGGCAGGCGGTTCTCCTCCGCCGCACCTCGCCATGCTCCCTCCGTGACACCACGCGGGGTGCTGCTTCTCCTCCCCCTGGGAAGCGGGCTCTGCACACCACCCAGCTCTGCATCTCGTCCAGACAGAAATGAATGAAGACGCTGTTCCGGTTACCTCCAGGTCACGAGAACAGTGAGGCACTTCTGAAACGAACCATTATGACACTGAGACAGATAAAAAAAAACCCAGCGTCTCCCCGCCCGACTACAGGCCGCCGGCGTAGACCCTGCCGTCCTGGAGCTCCTCCTCACTCGGGCACCGCCCCAGGGTATGCGCACAGCCCTCGTGCTCTTCGCCCCCCGCTCGGTCCTGCCCTGGGTCCCTGCAGTTAACGAAGGGCAACAGGGTGCCGTTGGGGCTCTGTTGGGCGCCCCCACTGAGGATGTTGTCGGCCGCGCTCTCCATCTCTTCTATCGTCATGTCGCAGGCGTCAGCCAACTCCTGGGTGGTGACCTCGATAAACTTGGGATCTTGAGCAAACTGCCCGAGTCCTTCTGAAATCAAGACCTGGAGAGGAGAGGGGGTCAGGGAGAAGGACTAAGAGGGAGCCCCGCTGCCGCGTGCACCCCTCCTGAGGCGGGGCTGAGGGAACCTGAGCGGGCGGCTGGAGTCTTGAAAGGGGTGGTTAAGGGCACTGGACTCCCACAAGGCTGACTGAGGTTCGAGTCCCAGACCTGGTGACTTGCTTTCTTACTTTCTGTCTTTCTCTGTCTCTCTCTCTCACCCTGTCTCTGTCTGGTCAGATTACAATAAGTAAATAAAAATAAATAAAGTTAAATAAAATTATTCTAAAAAGATAAAAAGGGGCTGCCGAAGAAAAAGGAGAGACAGAGCACCGGGAAGGAATGAGGGCTGCACCGGCCAGACGATGGAAGTTTGGGCAGTGGTACTGAAAACTCTTCAGACCCGGAAAGCCTTGGCAAACCGGGGCCACGGCAGGCTGTCCGCCTCCCTTCTCCATGGCCTCTTTCATCTGATTCTTCCAAGAAACTTCCATTCTCCTTTGGTGGAACTGCCAACCTCTGACCACTGCCAGCTAGTCGCCCGTCCAGGGGTGAGGACCGGGCACACATGTGTGAAATGCCGTGCATGCACCTGTCTCTGCTTCTGCTCAGGAGGGCAGGCAGGTGGCCCATGACTTCTCCACCCTTCCCACTGGCTGCTTTAGGACCGCTCTGGGGGCAAGTTAACACCTGAGCCAAAGGGTGGGCAGAGGCAGCCCATTGAAGCCTGGAGCGTGCTTCTCCCAGGTATGTGGCCCCCTTGCTGCCCTGCCCACATCACTCTGTAACTCCACCCTGTGTAACATAACTTCTGTTAGAATATTGCTCACCATCCCACTTGTCCTCCTGTGGGTTTGTTCCTACTTGTTAAAGAGCCTCTAAAATATGGTGCTCCATGCACTGACCCAGAAAAACAGTGAAACTAAAAGTTTTGTTCTAGACCAGTGGCTCTCAACCCAGCTGTGCAGCAGTCATGGAAGAGCTTTAAAAAACATCGGTTTAATTTGCCCAGAGCTCTCCAGGTGCTTCTCAGAGCAGTCGAGGTTCAGAGCACAGATCCGGCTCCTCTAGTACATAAATGCAGCCTCAGGCCCTCACCCACCTCTCGCTTGCTCTCTGAACAGTTGTCACGCAATGGGCCTGTCCCATGGAGCCCCTGGGCCTGTCTGGGGGTTCGCTGGCCACAGCAGGGGTGTGTTGCTGAGGTAGGGTAGGGTTCTGTTTCTCCCTCCCTATTTAGGCCCAGCCTCACAGAAGCTGAGGAGTCTTGTGTGGCCCTAACTGTTGGCCTGCCACACTCCCCTTCTGTACACATGGAGAGCAAGGTCTTTTTCTCAGACCCACCAGCCCATCTGTGTGGGGAAGAAGCTGGTCCTCCCTTCCCAATTCTCTAGCCCATCCACGCACTACCACCAGCAATGCTCTACCACCGCCACGGCTCCTGCTGCTGGGCAGTTCCTGTCACCTACCGCTTCCACCAGGCTGCTGGCACTGCCATGCAGCTGCCGGCCCCGCACCCCTGCTTGGCTGGGCACAGTGAGGGACACAGGCCTGGCTCTCCGACCATCGCTGCCCCCACCACTGGGGGTGGCCTCCTCCGACCAGGAACTGCAGTGGATGGACGGGAAGCTGCTGTTGAGCTTCTCACTGGACTCGGTCCCCTCCAGCCTCAGGGTGGGGATGGGCTGCGGGAGCCAGCCTCTGCTGCCAGGGGTAGCAGGGGTCGTGGCAGACAGCCTGGGGGATGTAGCTGGGGGATGGCTTCTCTGCAGGAGAGGACTCAGACCCGCCACCGCCAGTGCCTGTGGACACACAAGTAACAAGTTGTGGTTGGCCAGGCCCGGGAGCAGCAGGCCTTGTCTTCCAGCCCTTTCTCTTGGAAGCTGGTTCCCCAGCCTGGAGCCCCTGCCATCGTCTCATCAAGACCTTACAGGGGCCCAACAATCTCAACATGCATTTAGTGATCATCTCATTCTGAAGCCATCTTTCTCCAACTTCAGAAGGCTGTGATTGAATGGGATCAAGAGTATCTGGGGACTAGAAGTTGGTGTAATGGCTATGCTGCTGGACTCCCAAGTAGTTGACCGCAGTTCGAGTCCCGGACCCAGCGGTTTAAACTCATGCTGGGTGCATGTGTGTGTGTGCCCAAGATCCCAAGAGGAGAATGGAGGAGAACGGAGGAGAAGGAATTGCAGCATGGCCATCCCCCCTGGGGGATGATTTCTTGCTTTCTGTCTCTCTGTGTCTTTCTGGCGAGTGCATGCACCTCTCAAATTTAAAAAAGAGGATCTGCTTCTCAGCACTAACCTTACCACCGTGAGCTGTAAATTCGCTCACCATTTTCTCACCAGTAAAGTGTGGATAACATGGAAACATGTATCATCTGTAAAACTGGAGCAGCCGTGCTCTCACCATCACCTACCCCGTGGTGCCAGTGAACGGGGCTGTGAGGAAGTGCCATGTGCATCAGGAAGAGCTAGACAAACCCACGTCTGCTGCTTAGATTTACCAAGATAACTGGGTGATGGCCTGCCAGTCTCCCTCAGATATAGTGGATGACTGACACCTGAGCTGCACCGTAACTGAGCAGTTACGTGTTATGTCCTCTGCCTCCGATCTCTCAAGCATCTGACCTGTGACATGTCCGTGCCATAAGTAGCTCTTGGCAGAGGCTTAGCCATGTTCGCTGCTCTGCCATGATGCATTCGTGGGACAAAGCCATGTTGTGGGAAGCCAGTGCTGAGAGCCAGAGGGAGTGGGGATATTGTGGAAGGAGAGAATACAGATCAAAGCCTCCCTTGCCAACCGACCTGATCAGAACAGACAGGTGAGCCACTCCTGGAGATTTTTTTTTTTTGAGAGATTTTCACTGTAGGGCACGTGTGCTTGCCAGACAGACAGAGAGAGACATAGAGACAGAAAGCGAGAAATCACCCCCCCAGGGGGGATGGTCACGCCACAATCCCTTCTCCTCCATTCTCCTCTCGGGATCTTGGGCACGCACGCACACGCGCCCGGCGTGAGTTTTAAGCCACCGGGTCCGGGACACGAACCGCGATCGACTACGTGGGAGTCCAGCGACATAGCCATTACGCTAACTGCTGGTTCCCACTCCTGGAAATTTTTGAAAACCATACATGGTATCCACACAGCCTGCCATCCTCCCCTCCCCAACTCCTAATTGTCTCCAGCCTAGGAGTTCCTGGGTCCCTGGAGACCTGAGGGATGTGAAAGGCTATGTTCAATATCTTGGAAAGCTGGGTTGAAATCAGACATTTTTTGGCAAAGCCATGCAGGCTAAGCAAAATAGCAGATTTAATTGAGCTGAAGTAATATTGACTTTGCTTAGTCACCCTGGCCCTCCTATACTGACTGCAAGTTTTGCTTGCCAGTTGAATGCCTTTGGGTATAAAAAAGAAAATCATTCAAACCTAGGTCCATGGTGGGGCCAGCAGGTGGCATAGTGGTTAAGACACTGGACTCCCACATGGCCCACTTCAGTTCATGTCCCTAACCTGGCAGCTTGAAACTCACTCCAGGTGCATGTGTGTGCATTCCCAAAATCCCAAGAGGAGAATGGAGGAGAAGGGATTACAGTGCGCCCATACCCTTTGGGGTGATTTCTCACTTTCTGTTTCTCTGGTGAGTGCACACACCTTACTAGCAAAAATATCTTAAAAACAACAACAACATAAGTCCATGGCAAGGGAATACATAACTAAAAAGGTAAGAAGGTTGGCAAACTCACCTGTAGGTCCAGTTTGCCTGGAGGCAATGGATTTGCCTTAGATAACTATCTGAAATCTCCATGAGTTCTAAGGCACTAGGAATTTGTTTGACACCCATGTCTCAGATTTCACTATCTCAGGTGGAGTCGGCCACAGAAAGCACCCTTCTTCACCCAGCATCTCCCTGGACCTGTTTTCCTTGGATGGCATTCTCTACTCCTGGTCACGCTGCTGTAGGTTTTTGATTTTTATGTATGTCAGTGGGTGGGTCTTTGTGCAGTTGAATTTTCAGGAGTTTTCTCTGAGAAGCAGCCACTTCTGCCTGACAACTCTGGGGAGAGAACATCTGTGCCACTGAGCGGAGAAAGCCCAGGCGGACCCCTGTGTCTGCTGATCCTTCAGGATCACCGAAGAGTTCCTACCCTCTAGCACTTGCTGCGACCCTGCAGGCATTGCTAAGACTCTCACCTGCACAGGAAGAACAGATGGCCCTGCCTGGAGGTACTGCTGGGACCAGGACCAGGGCCAGGGTGGACCAGGGGACTGTCTAGCCTGCTAGGTCAGTGGCCTGTCAGACTGTCTAGCCTACTAGGTCAGTGGCCTGTCGAGAAGTATGGGCTACCTGATGATGAACCAGATGCAGGGGCAGGACTGTCTTCTGAGAGATGTCTCCTCCCTGATTCTTCTGTCGCTTCAGACATTCCAGGTGGAAGGAGGCCCTTCGACCTGCAAAACCAGCAAGAACCAGGATCAGGGCAGGAAAAGAGGGCCCAGGACGGCTGGTAGCCAGGTAGGGTATAAGTAGTGGGAGTAACCCTGGATGCACCTCCTCTTTGCCCCTCACCTCGTCTCTGAACATGCAGTGTAAAGATGCCCATGTCCCACCCTCTTCAGCCCTGCCTTGGGAATTCTGTTTCATCACTTTGGAAAACTGCCCAGTCCACTGTGTGCTGGGTGGCTGAGCCAAGCCACAGTGGTTTCTCAGTCAGCTTGAGCACTTGACTGGTGTCAGAGAGGGAACATCCAGGCACATCGCGGGAACAGGGTGTGCATTTACCTAGTGAAGCAGAGCGAAGGAAGCCCCTCTTTGGAGACTGCCGGAGGTCCCTCTTGTCCTCCTCTGGGGGTGTCAGTTGTCGATTTTCATCATCCTGGTAGGAGATCCTGGAACAGAATGCTCTGGGGTTTATTCCTAGAGACGGACAAGTGCCACCCCATAGGGATAGCTGCCATCCCCAGGATGCAGTTTGCTTATTTCCTAGGGAAGGAGCTTCCCCCTCCTGTCATTTTGTGCTTTCCTATAGGTTTGAGGAGCGGGCAGCAGGGAATCACCACCTGAGAAATGCCTTCTCTCTGGCATTTCTGAATGGAGGCAGTGGAAGCCCTCTTAGGTAGCAGATATTGAAAAAGTTAAAAAAAAAAATCTAGACTCATAACATTCTCTCAAGGAATGGTGTCAGCGCCTGTGGTGCAGGTACTCTGCCTTCTACCGTGGCTAGTCTTAGCTTCAGCCCAAACCCACCACTCAGTCCCCAATCTCTCCCCGCCCCGCCAACCCCTTCACTGCTAAGAGCAGCTGCCTACAATAAACACAGGACTACGCAGACAGCAAACACAGGCTCTAAGAGCCTCAGGGCGCACCTTGCCCACAGCTTCCAGGCCTTTGGATGCTGACTCACAGTAAGAACATGTGCCCAGTGCTCACAGACATCCCTCCAGCCACACCTGTTTCCTTCAGAACAAAACTGTAGGGACCGTACTCGCCCCACTGTGTGTATGCCCTGATGATTTCTATTCTACTTTGGTCTGTTCCATTGTATTGAAAATACCAGCTGCAGCCTTGGTATTTACCACTGAACAGACTTCACAGCCTGTATGTCAGCTCACAGTCCAAGATGCACACTGCTCTCCAAGCCCTTCCAGCCTTGGGAACAGGGTTGTATTCCACACCTATTTTACAGATGAGGCCATTGACTATGCCAGTAGGGCTAGCCACCCATCTCAAGAGCAGAGATGGTGCTAACTCCCTCTTTCTTTCTTTCTTTCTTTCTTTCTTTCTTTCTTTCTTTCTTTCTTTCTTTCTTTCTTTCTTTCTTCTTCTTTTAGAATGATTTAATCTTATTTATTTATTATTTAGAAATTTGCTATAGGACATGTGAACTCATCAGAGAGAGCTGGAGAGAGGGAAAGTAAGAAAGCAAGCCAGTAGGTCTAGGACTCGAACTGTGGTTGGCCATTTGAGTCTAGTACCTCAAGTACCTTGCCATCTGCTGGTCCCAAACTCCCTTTTCCTTTTCTTTCTTCTCTTAGTTTGTTATATGGCATGTGCTCTCACCAGAGAGACAGAAAAATAGGGAAAGTGAGAAAGCAGACTCCCTCCCACCCTCCTGGGACATGACTATGTCACAATCCCATCTTCTCCATTCTCCTCCCGGGATTTTGGGCACACATGCACACACACTTTACATGTTTCTCAAGCTGTCAGATCCAGGACTTGAACCATGAGTTGGCCATGTGAGATCCAACAGCCCCAATCTTCCTTCAATCTACTGCTCCTAGCACAGTGATTCCCAGGAAGGCAGCCCAAGGAAACCTCACACAGTGATGCCTCTAGGCCTTGCTCTCTTCTTGGCTAGGTGCACCCATCCTGTTGTAGTCTCTGCTTATCTCAATCATCTCCACTCCTGCAGACTCTCTCACTGGCTTCTACTGGACCCTGTGCATGGTGCCTATGATGGTCACCCCCTCCAGCCCACCTCTCCACCTTCCCAAAATCCCGCATCCCTTGGTGTTTGCACCGCTCATTGAGCTATAGCTAAAAAATCTCCACGTTCTCTTCCTCTTCTGAGATCCTCAGCTTCCTGACTAGTCTGTGAAATCTTCTTCATGTGGAGACCTATTTACTCAGGACCCTGCAGAGTCCCAGGATGCACTTAGCCCTCAGCAAGAGCCATGATGGATCAAAGCAGAGGTGTTCTCTGACTTCTAGATATGTGGCCATGTACTGATTGGCATTGCCTAAAGATCAATGAAGAGAAGGTTATTGCTTAAGGAACTTCAGGCATTTCTTTTGATTTTATATTTACTGTCTCTTGAGTCAGAAAAATAGAAGGTATGTCACCTCCCATCACCCCATTTACTGGTGGGGACGTGTTGGCCCAGGGAGGCTAACAGACTGGCAAAGTCGCTGGTCCTGATGAGTCCCACATCTTCCTCACTCACTGATTCCTTGTCTTACACCAAGGGAAAGACC